AAATGATTTAAACTTCTTAAATTCATCCAAAACTAAATGTAAAAGCTGCCATTTTAATCTAAACTCTAAGGTCATGCAACTATAGTGGGTGCTAGTTACAAAAATTTTACTGGTGTGTAAAATGTCATTGAATGGCGTACATCATATGTTCTTTTTTAGATTCTATTATCTATTTTTCTTTCTTAACTTTTCTTTCTTTTTTCTTTCTTAAACATTTAGTCCAGATGTTAAGTAATGCGAATCAATTTCAACTTTAACTTCTCCACACCTTATAAAAGTTACTCAAACATCAGATTATTAGGTATTATAGAATAAAAATAATTATCTGTTAAAAATATCGTGCAATCGTAAGTATTAAATCTGTTAAAATTATCGTGCTTTATGGTATTGATATTTTTGGCAAAAAAAAAAAAAAAAAAAAAAAAAAAAAAAAAAAACGAAAAATAATCATGGTTAGTAAAAAAAAAATACGGTATTTAAACCGCTTATTTAGTCACTTTTTATTCATTTTGTAATAATTTACACGAAATTATAGCTTCCAAAATTAAAGATCTTATAGCCACACATTTAGTAAAAATGCAGAATTGAAAAATAAATTTAACCTAAAAATGGCTTTCATGCCCTGCTTTAAGGTATTATGATAGAATCGCCAAACTTTATAGAATTTACCAAATTTGATGACATATTATAAAACAATATTTTATTGTTAATTTTGCCCCAATAATTACCAAAGCGCTTCGTTAAAAATTACTGTGCTTTCTGATGTTGCCAGAGACAGAAACACAACAAAATGTACCATATTTTTGCAGTTTGACCATATTTTTTTTCTCAGTGTAGAGATATGTAGTTTTCTAAATTATTTATACAAGCGTAACTGGTTACTAAAAATGTAAAACTGAAAAAACAAAACAATACATGAATAAAATATAACCTTAATGTCTTTTGATAATAGCCAGGCGGGAATTATTAAGGAATGTTACTTGTAACTACCGAGTTATGACCATGGCTAACGTGTTTTAAATAAATTCTGGTTTAGACGTTGCTCTCTTTTCTTGCCTTTTTTGAACGGATAGACTAAATATGTCTAGGACAGTGGAATGATGATATTATAAGGATAGATACATAATTTGCTTAAGAGTAAAATAGAATCGAACAACTAAGCTTTAGCGGCATATTCTTATAACACAATTCAGTACTGATTAGCAAAGTAAGCATGGAGACCTGGAAAGAGTTTAGTTTAATTGTGAGAATAAGAAAAATATTTCAAGAAAACTTTCTGGCTAACTGCTGATTTGCAGTAGTGAATCAACATCTGCTTGCAAATTTTCAGCGGTATCATTATATCCGTTGTTGATATTCAAGGTGTAAAAAGAAATAAGGGGCCCAAAATTAGCGAATAATGCGTAAACATAAAATTAATTATTAATTAAAAAGTCTGTAGCAGCTTTTTGTTTCTCTGACTCTTTGGTCACACTCTAAGGTCCTCGCAATCCATTAAGATAAATTGAAAGCTTTAACCCGCACACTGCTTTTATTACTCTTACTACATATTTTAATAAAACCTTGTCAAAAACTAAGTTGCAAATTTCTGTACATTTGTAATTTACTACATTATTAGCAACAAAACTGAAAATTATTCGCTAAGAAAAAAATTAATTAAAATATGATGAGAATTAGTTACAATAGTGAGAAAATTGTGATTGCTTAACTGTGACACTTATTACCTAGAGGTATGGATAGACTTGATAGTCTTTTTTTCTGCATAGACTTTGATAAACGCTACATCATTTTAAAAAATTAGCTGTAAAAACTGCTTCAATTGATGTTTGTCCTTTTACCGTTCAGTTGGCTGGATTGATTTTTACTTCCAGCCAATATATGTTTTTTAAAATGGCCCAAAATTCTTTTTCATTGTTAGTATTTATATTTATATTAAAATCCTCGCCAAACTATGATCAAGTTATAAAAAAACTAAAAAATACTTTGAATGCACGCTGACGAAAATGAGAAGAAAAAACTCTAACTTCAAAGCCCAGAAGTTCCAAAATTATCATCAGGTTTTATTTTTATTTGTGCAGCTTTTCTGTAAATGTTCTTACTACTTTTTGTTTGTGGTGTTGACGTCACTTCACTTACTTTTCCACTTGAAATCAATTTATTAGAGATGCAATAATGTTTCTATTAGGATAAGAATGCGAATTGTCCAATGAAAATAGTGCAAACTGAAATCTGTGAAGACAGTCATTCAATGATAGTGAAACACTGATCCAGTTCAGCCTCTGACTCGGACATCTCTGTTGGAGTTAATCTAATCGATGAAGTTGATCTACTGCTAAAGCAAGCGTACATGAAGAAACAAAATTTAAAAAAAAGAAAAAAAAATTTCGGAACCGTAATCAAAATCCAGCATATTTTATGAAGAGGAAATGTTCTTAAGAAAATAAATTTTTCTCACTTCAGTCCAAAGTTTAAAAATTTTTGATTTCATTAGTAACTACACTTGAAATGATACGTTTGATACCTAACATTGAGATTTATCACTAATTCTGTTCATTAAATCGGGATGAAGACTAAGTTATTTTTATAAAATTCAGCATTGTTTCATTTACTTATATGCTTCTTACCTTTATTTTTAAAACATTGCTCTCACTTTTTATTTTATTATCTTTCAATATAAGTATGAAAAAAATGAAAAACTTCTTTATAAAAATATTCCTATGGATTTCTAGCATACTTTACGTGATTCTACTTGAAATTATTTCACATGATTTGATGAAGGATTATCGTCTGCCCACTTCTTAAAAAATTGCATTTCTAAATAAAAATAAGCTCAAACGATTTTTTTTCTTTTTCCAGAGTTAGTTGAGAAGAGAAGAACAGTTTATAATATTATTTTTTATCCAAAAAATGTCACTATAATTGTTTTTATTTATTTATTACAATTTATAAGAATTAAATTAATTCTAAACTTATAAAATAAAATTTGTTAAAATTTCCCCTCGAATTGCAATCCATATTTTTAAAATATAATAATAATACTCAAACTTTTCTTTCTAAATGCTTTTTTATCGTCTGCGTAAAGAAATTAATCTCGTCAGGAAGCAAGTGATATTTCATAGTATAAAGTTGTTCTAAATGTCGATGTTTGGTGTGTTGTATTCACGTGAAAAATGAGTGAAACTTGTGAAATAAATAAATTGCCTTGTAGAAGTAACTGGGAATCTCTAAGTGAGTACGAAAGAAAGCGGTATTCAAATGTAATTAGAAACTGGGAAGTTCTAAAATCCTTAGGTATGTTTTATTTTCTTGAGAATTCTTTTGGATTTTTGATAGGATGTTCCATAATGATATTAATGTGGACATATTTGTCTTTCAGATGTAAATAATCTTTATACAGTAACATTGAATAATTACAGCAATTTTTTAAGCATTAGTTAATGTAGATCTTTAGTTATTTTCAAATGATTTGTAATCCAATTCCAAAATAGAATGTTTTAAATTTATTCACCTACAAGTCTAATAGGAATTTATTTCAATATATTATTATTCCACATGTAAAATAAATTTATTAGTTATTTTCTTTGAATTTTTTTGTGCGGTCTGTGTAGACAAATTAAGCTTGCGATTAACAGAAAAACTTCTCATACTTTATTAATCAAACCAGTTATAGAGGATTATGCTTAACTATATGATTATTGAATACAGTATATGCTAAACATTTATGTCTTTTGAAATTTTATTTTCACCTGTAATGCATTAAAAATTAGGGGCTACATTAATAGTTTTAGCAAAAAAAAATTGGAATATGAATTTTATTGATATATTTTTAAATTATTCTTTTGGAAAAAGGCTGTGGGGTAGGTTGGACCATGGTCACACGGTTAAACAATTTATTTGTTTTTTCTTGAAGATGTTGCGCCAGTACCTCAAAAACCTTTCATAGAAATCACATGTCTCAGCTGATGGGTGCCATTTTTTTTAAAAAATTCATCTTGATTCAAAATAATTTTGTCTAAAAATGATTTTATTACTAAGTATATTTTGGAATTCCATTATTTTACTTTACCTTCTAAGGTATTTTTCTATAAGAATATAGTAGTAATATGTAATTAGTTTACAATGTTATATCGTTAATGTAATAATGATAGCAGCTACTTATATTTACATGATAATAGGAATAATATTGCGTTCTCTTGTGGAATCCAGGACATGAACGGTACTTTAGTCTATTTAAAAAGTGATAGGTTAATCATTAAAATAATTCAGCGAAATTTTATTATTGGAATTTAGCTATCTTATAGAATTATATATTTTGATACTCTAAATAATAATTAAATTTATTTGCATTTGTTAGAAGTAGAAAATTATTTTAAATATTTTTTTTCTTCTAGATATTCAACTTAATTAGTCTAAAAAGAAGAGCAAGAAAATTTCCGTTAAATGATCAAATATATTTCATACAAAGTACATAAATTACTAATTCATTTTTTTTGCAAATATAAAATACATGTACTTTAGTCATTAAATTCACATCAAATAAATTGTTTTCTTTACATTAAATGGTAAAATTTGTAAGAAATAATGCTTTTTTTTACTTTTTGTTAAATTAAAGCAAAATGTCTTATATATTTCAAAAAATCACTGATAAGAGAAATTTTTTTAAACAAAACTATCATGTACCTTTACTCTTGAAAGTTATACAAGAAATACTCTGAGCATTTAAACTGAAAAAACACAATTTAACCAATTATTGCATTTTTTTAAGGTAATAGGAATAAAACAAAATTTTTACTGGCATGAAACATTGAAAAGTATCTAAGTGTTTTTTATTGTCATTATGTTCCAAATTTTTAGTACATAAAGACATAATCAACTAAAATTTTGTGATGGTATTGTGATAAAAATAATTGATTACGTGCAGAAAATGTTGCTAACGTAATAAGGCATAAAAATGATGCAACTCTTGTTTTATTAATTTTGTTGTTCTGAATAAACTTAATTTTAGGGGTTGCTTCGAAACTTCCTAAATTTCTGGAACCTGCGGAAAAAGCTCCTTCAAAAATAAACAAATTTCCAAGAAATAAACTGAGTATTCCTAAAAGACAACAAAAGGGTAAGGCGTTGAACAAAATATTATTCATCATTCATTATTTTACAATTTTAAATGCTAGTTTCGCTATTATAAACTATGTTTGATTAAAAGAAATGTAACATTAGGTATCTTGATAAAAATAGAAGAAAAGATGAATTAAAATATCATCCTAATGTAATTTATAAGTCATAAAATTTCATTTATTGTCATGTTACTGTCATACTTGAAACATGCGAAAATAATATATGCTGAAAATGTAAAATATTTTTTTTTAAATAAAAGAAGTATGTAATTGAAATAATATTCCAAATAGTTAGTTTTTGCTTTTAACTGTTATTGACTTTTAAATTTTAAGAATGCATTTTTTTCTTACCTTTCAAACTTATAAATTGAAAAAAAAATACTTTATGTGCAATTCACTTGGATTTGTTTGCCGTTTATATATTTTTTTTTTATTTTCAATGACGTATTGTTGTTTATTTAGAATTAAAATTAAAGTCTAATTTGAATTTTTATCATTAATTTTGAATTCCAACTTTAAATTTACACAGTAGTTAAGTTCTTCATTACTTCGGTCCACATGCGCGGATCTTGGTTCTCAGCTTCTAAAACCGCCCTAAGGAAAATGTATAGTTCTACCCTCACTGAAACATTCGCGGACCCTTAAAATTTTTGGTGATTACAATAGATGCCAGAACATGTAATTTATTTGGGTAAATTTCCGGATAAACAGAAGCAATTTTTTACTTTTTTTTACTTTAGACTTATTAGTTATGTGATCTTTATGAAGATTTTAAATTTATATTTACTTGATATTCAAAATTAATATAGTCAAGAACATGCACGTAAGCGTATGTGTGTTTTATTATGCATAACGAAATTTTGCATAAAAGCAATTTTGAAACTGCAATTTAATGCAGTATTGCACTGTATTTAGATGAAACGTCATATTTTAAAATTCAATTTGTTTTTTAAAAAAATATTAGTTTTATTCATTATCGTAACCAAATTGGACTATAAAATAACATTGTGCATGTTTGTTCTTGTTTCAGGAGCAAATTAACATTTAAAATATAAAAATTCTTTTACAATTCATATTTCATATTTACTCATAAGCAATTCTTACTTTTTTTTAAATCTTATTATACAGTAAAACAGAAATTCGAAATTGTAAAACATTTCTTGCAATATTATTTAATACTTCAGTAATAAAGAGGTACAGAATGATGCGTATTTCCGACTTTTTGGAGGAGATAAGTGGTTAGAAGATAGAAAAAATATCAGCAATATATTATAAGCGTTTTTGAGCTCACAAAAAATTACAACCGAATTTTCAATAGTCTTAATTTTTTGCTCAGCCAAATTAGTAACTAACAGATTTTAAAGCAAAGTGATATTACTTTATTTAATTTTAGAATGATTCAGTTATTTATTGCATAATAGAAGATTTAATACCTGAAGTAATTGAATTTTCAAAAGAGAAAATGTTAGTAACTTTCTTAACTTTCCTTAAAAAGAGTCATGCATTTTGAATGTCCAGTGTAGTTTTTATCATGAAAGTACAAATTTTTAATTTCTGTCTTTAATTTTAGTCGTATGCAAAGTTGACATTCCTTAAAATTTTTATTAGCTATAGAAAACCTTAATATATGAGAAGGGATTAACAATTGTTAAAATTTTTAATAAATAATCAGTAAAAACTGTTTTAAACCTATGGTTGACTGCTTGAAAACAATAGTTTTAAGTTTTGCGCACGAGAAACAGTACATTTGTAAAAAAAAAAGATTCATGAATTTCTTTCAAATGATAACAAAATTTTGTTTAATTATTATTTTCTTTCAATACTTAATTTATAAAGTATTGAGAGTTTAAATTTTATCCAGTGGATCTCTGACGTGTTACATAAAAAAATAAGTGATCCGACGAATTGCCTATTTTCTCTATATCTAATTACTATTTTATTCTAGTAGGATTTCTTCTATACAAATTACCTATTTTCTTCTAGTAACAGTAGTAATAGTATAAAATATTTTGGAATTTTATATGCTTCCAAGACTTTATTTATCTGCACAAACTGCTCTTTCATAAGTTTTTAGCATTATTCTGCAATTCAAATTGATTTCGTTCACTTTTTTAATCTTATTACTTTATAGTACAATTAAATATTTTAATGAACCAAATTCTTAACTTTTTTTTATAGTCAAAGACTTCGAGAAAACGAATTTCAAGTTATTTGCTGTATCTGAATCTCAAAAGAGAAAAGAAAAGCTTTGCCAAAAGAGTAAGAGTTATAATTGTTTATCTTGTTTTTTAAAAAAAATGCAATTTTACTTATGATAGAGCTGTTGTACAAAAGGTACATGAAAGTATATTTTTTCTTTCAGAAATTATAAAGAAACGTCGTAAAAAGTTAAGACAAGATGAAAATGTAAGTTGTGAAATTCTAAAATGAATTTTTAGCAAAATTTCCTGTAAAAATTTACACAAATTCCAGACACTTTATTATTGAAATACTGCTAAATTTTTTAAAATAAATTGCGATTTAGGATTATTATTTGGAGACAATTATTTTGTATATTTAAAGGGAGTCTCTCAAAGGTTATTCAAGGTGTTCATTTTTCTTGCGTATTGTACATGACGATGCATTTTAATTTATGTCAATACCAAGCACTGGCAGTTTGTTAAATACATTTATTATGATAAAATTTTCTAAACAGAGTTTAAAATATTTCCTTTTCTTATTCTATAATTTCCTACGATTAAAATTGAGGAATTTTCTTTTAATCCGTATAGGCACGGAAAAAATTTATTTTTATATTAATGACGCATCTATTACTTGAGTATGTGCTGAAAAGTCATAAAAAAAATAAAACTACAGTTCTTTAAACATTTGTTACCTTTTTTATTTTATGTTCGATAAGAGTTTTGTTAATCTATTCAAGTATTGCTATTTAAAAATTTTAAATGGTGTTCTATTTTTGAACTACCATTTTAAAATATTGGTTTTTTAGATGGCGTCTGTTCACTATATTTGCATATTTATCGAATTAAACTCAAGGCATAATGAAAAGTATACTCGATGTCATTTTGCACTTCTAGTTCAAAGATGTATTTTGTGTTTCCAAGGAGAAAAATTTATTTTAAATACATTTGCTGTATTTGCTTTATTTAGTTATAATGAATTATGTAAAAGATAACTTACATCGAATAATATTTCTTATTTATCAATAAATTCATTGCATTTCACAAGGAACCAGAGATAATGATTCATCCAAAAGAATTTGGCTTAAAGAAGCTTGCAAAGAGTTTGCTGAAGAGAGCTCAGCGTCATTTTAAAGACTTGGAACCCTTTTTACCTGAAGATGACCAGGTCACTGAATACGAAATAGACAAAGGTAAAATGATTCATTTAATTTAAAAATGCAAACGTGTTTTTTTATAGGAAATGCTAGAATATATAGAAACCCATCATAATTTTACATCATTACTCCTTTATAAGTATTTTACATTATAGAGAACGGAGTTGGGAAATCGGATGTTCTTTTTAATTTTTCGACTTTGTATAAAATCGTCGCGTAATAAAGTATATTACAGTAAAATAATGAAATAACTAATATATGTAAGAATAAATAACAATGTGAACTAAATCTTGATAAAATTCTGTTATTATATCCACCTCTCCTCCTTCGAATTCAAGTGGTAATCAATGACACATTATATTTTCAATTTGAAAATACGTGTATATTGCAACAAACATTTTTTCATTCATATTGTACAAAATCTTGACATACAACAAGCATATAAACAAGTTAACTCTAAAAATGTCTGGTTTAAATTAAGGTACAAAGTTGCTGCATCATCCGCAAAATTAATTTTATCTTAAAATTCATTTTCACCGCAAAATATGATACCGTAATGTTAGCAGTTATAATTATTGAATTTGAGTGATTCTACGGTATATCAGATGTTTTGTTTCGTAATATATTCCAGTAAAAATGTATTTAAGGTAAAAAGTACTGACAGCATGAGTGATGGTACTTTTTAAGGTAATTTAATCTAGAATTTTCTTAAAGTGCATGAAGCTACTGAGATAACGGCAATTCTTCATTCGTTTCGAATTTCCCTAAGAGTTCATTCGTTTGAGAAGGCAGACTTGGATAGTTGAGCGTTGTTACTAAAATTTTAATGATATGTCCTCTATGTCAAATTATTAGAACTGTGTCTTTTTATTTTTAAAAATAGGTTTTTTTTTCTAGTTTGTTTTGAAAGAATTAAACATTTAAGGCCATTAGGTCACAAACGCATCACTTAATATATAATAGATACATTAATATGCCAAGCGTCAACTTGAGCATTAAAAATTATGTTGTGTTCTACTAATTCCACACTACTTATAGGTATATATACTTATATGTAAATACTAATATTAGAGTTTTGGTACAATGGTCAATGGGTATTCAAAATTACACTAAAAATACATTTTTACTTAGTCAAAATATTCTTGTAACAAAAATTAACCCGAAATATATAGATCTCAGTGAATGCGTACTAGTGATAAATAACCAAAAAATATTCTATAGATCGGTGTAACATATACGTTTAGCGTTCATGTACTTTTGGAAAATTCTGTATCAAAAACTGAAATGAAAGTTTGTACAACTTGGAATTCAAAATATTTAGATTATTTTTAGATGAAATAGTAAGAAACTAGATTCTACATCCAGAATAATAATAAATAATTATTTTATAAATTGAATTCTCTTTATTAAGTGTATTTTATAATAGTGCTAAAATTATTTGACCAACGGAAGTTCTCAAGCTAAAATTGCATAAACTGAAATAAACTTAAAGGAGAGCGAATAGAACACTATTCCGAAAGTTCATGTTAATATTATAACAAGAGAATGTTACAAGTGATTTCAATTTCTATTATATATCATGGACATTTTTAATTGACTGAGGCAATAACATTTTTTTTATCGATTTCAGGAAAGATAAAAGTTTTTATCTTATTTAATGACTCTTTTTTAATTCTGACATGAGCTTCTATTTCAAAATATTGCCAATGTTAATCATTTATAAACAACAACAACAAAAATATTAATAAATATAAGACTAAGAGTTCAGTTTATTCTTTCTTAGAACTTGAAATTCCAAGTCGCTATCCTAAAAGGAACATCAAGCAAAAATCTTACGAAGAAGAAGATGTCTCTAGCGAGGACGAGTTCTTGTGTAAATATAAAACTTATCTATTATTTTTAAAACATGATAGATGATGACATATTACATGTGAATATTAATTTTTTAGTTTTATTTGTTGGCTTTTTTAAGTTTCTTGCTTTCTTTAAGTTAATTAAAATTATAACAAACTGTTTTGATTTCAATCGTTTGTTTAACCCTGTTTTACCATCAAAGGTTTAATCAATTTGAAACTTGAAGTATTTAGAGATGAAGTCCTAGTTTAAAAGAAAGTCAAAATGCTTTTTATTCTGAAACTGTAGGGTGTTTCTTAAAAAATGTGAAGTTATCAAAACAGTGACTAAAAAATTGTGATGATAATACTATAAATATTTCGACGAAAGCGTACTTTCTTGCATTTAAACGGATTGAAACTGCGAAATCATGCTTGAAATAAAAATTTATTTACACTAATGCAAAACTTATTTTTTTTAACATTTATTTAGTTTACCACGTCTTACTATACATGCTAATGTTTCAATACATTCAGAAAATATTGATAAAGAACTATCACACAAACTTAAGTTAAAATAATTTAAATTTTCGTATTCCAACAAGCATATTGTAATACAAATATGGAAATATAAATGTTTCCTTTTATCTATCTTACTTTATTATTTGAATCTTATAGTGTTCAATTTCATTTATTTAATGAATTATTTCTCAAATTAAAAACAAAGTTAAATTTCAAAATATAAAATAAAATAACAACAATAATAACATTAATACTCTGAGAAAAAATATGATTAAATGGAATGCTTTGAATATGATTTAATTTACCGTGTTTCTATGGGTACATTAAAAGCTCGGTAATTTTAATCGAAACGATTCGGCAATGATTTTGGTAAAACTAACATTAAAATATGATTCTATAATATGTGATAAAATTTGGCAATTATAGTGGCAGAGAAAGAAAACGGCAATTTATTCAAAGTACTTACTAAAATGTTTAAAAGAACTAAGATTTTAAAAGCCAGAATTTCTGTTAAACAATTACCATATTTTTTAAAAAAATACCAAATTTCAAATTCGTAATTTAAGATGCATAATTTTCACAAAACAAAATCTCTATTGGCTCTGTTAATCGTCAAAACTATATAACATAATAATTTCAAAAATATTAGTTTTTTAATTCAGCAAAATTCAGTTTATATTTATTTATATTGTCATTTTTTTATGTATATTTTGAATATTGGGGGTTTGTTTCTTCTACGAGCAGATTGTGATTTTTGTGACTGCGACTACAAAGGTGCTTGTCCAAAACATGGCCCTATGCTTTGGGTATGTGATCGAAAAGTAAGTAGTAAATTCTTAATAGTGAATTAATAAATGTTGATTTGATAGTTATAGGTTAAAAGTAATAATTTAAATAAAAGTAAAAATTAGGTTGATCAGAAAGTATGAATCTATTAACTATTTGCAGTTTTCTTCAAATTATTTTTTATCAGCGATTGACAAATTGAAGAAGTTTGTCTAAGTGATATTTCATTATATCACAAAATGACATGCCCTAAGAAACAGTCTTTATTCGATATCTCCAGATATTAAAGCGTTTCCAGCTAGATTTGAATTTAAAAATAGTTTTTGGATTGAAAGTTTTGTATGCATCAGCCTTTTAAAAATTATTCCAGACTATAGATATTATAAATGAATGTTTTTGTTTAAAAATTCCTATTGCTGATTTAAATTTGTTATATGATATTTTCTAAAATAAATTTAAATTTCGGGCACACGGAAATTATATTCTAAAGACAACTTTGGAAAGAATTCCTTCTCTCCTAAGACCATAAAATTTCTTTTTTAAAGCTTATTTGAATTATTACTTTCCCCAGAATTAATTATTCTTATTTTTCTTACATAACCATACAAACAAATAAAATAAAAACAGATAATTATAAGTTCACCAATGAAAGACAAACAAGATAGATACATGTTTTTATCATATTTTACAAGACAAATAGTAATTTTAAATTGAAATTTTCAACATTAAATTACTTTATTAAAAAATGATGTATAAAAAAATTATATAATAAAAAAACACTAATTAATTGTTTTTGAATTATCTAAAGTAAACGATTGAATGTGTGCGATCCGCAGGCTTCTTATTTAACTGATATAAATAATATTGCATTTACCAACAGTAGTATACATTTTAATAAATGCTACATAATATTGCTTAAAAGTTTAAAGTTATAGTTTAAAGTACAAACTCACTGTACAAAGCATAATCTTTAAGTAAATTTTTTGATATTTTTATAGGTTTAAATATGAGAAACTCGTGTTGGATAAAAAAAAACAGTAGTTGCAATTTTCTTGGGCCAAAAATGTTTCCAGGGTTTGGTAGGGGTAGTATCATTTTTCGGTTTGATTCTGAAAAGGCGGTGAAACTATTGGATATGGAAAATTTTTAAAATACAAAAGATTAGTTTTAGTTGAACGTTTTATATCATCATCTAAATTTAAATAAAAATCTTTTAAAAGTATCATCTTTTGAAAAGAAAAAAGTGATTCAAGATTTGTTTCTTTGCATGAGATCGTTTTTGAGAATTTTTGGCTTTATAGGTTCCCAAAAACTCATCAGAACGAGCTGAGCTTACAATTCCAAGTTTTCTCTCTATTGGAATATCGAGCATTCCAAAAGCAGGACTTGAATATGGACAGAAATCCCATTGCCTATAGGAACAGTGTTCGGTCCTTACAAGGGAAAGATTATTAGAACAAGAAAAGAGGCAGAAAAATCTGGCTATTCTTGGATGGTAGTTACTTATTTTTTTTTTCAATTTTTCAAATTAGATGCTTTTTTAAATTATGATTATAATTTTAGAAATATATATTTTAGCATATTTTTTCTAGTTTGACTATTAATTAATTGTTTCATTTAAAATTTAATGCTTAAAAGCTTTTAAGTTCAATTGATAATGTTAATTTAATTTTTGTTTAGGTATGGAAGGGAGGTAGAGTGGATCATTATATTGAAGGGTTCAAAAAGGATATTTCCAACTGGTTGAGATTCGTCAATTGTGCTGATAAAGAAGAGAAACAAAATTTAGTGGCAATACAGTACAAGAAACAAATCTATTACAAGACTTACAGAGAAGTGTTACCATTTCAAGAGCTTCTGGTGTGGTATGGAGGAAAATATGCTGCTGATCTTGGAATCAGCTTGAAAAGGGACATCGAAGCTAATCAATTAAGTACGAATGATGAAATCTATGTCTAATAAGTTAAGATAATTAAAATTAGCAGATAAAATTTTAAAAGTGCTTCTGTTTTTTGATTATACAGTAAAGTTTTGTATCCTAAATTAAACTATAATTATTTTAAAAAAAATTTTCATTTTAAGTTTTATTTATGTACCATTGAGGAAGTTTAATCTGTGACTTACATGTCGTTAATATTTTTCGAACTTAGCAAGGTTTTCATGCTAAATTGTTATTCTTATTATATAATTCATACGCGTCATAACTAATGACATTGTATTTAATTTAAATATTTTTTCGTTCGATTAGAAAAGAAAAAAGCATTTGTGTCTATCATATTATCGTCTTTTTTAAAAAAATAAAACAGTTATATTTTTTATAATTACAGTTTTTGCAAAAATTATACAATTTAACAATATCATAAGATTAGATTTTTTTCTCATTAAAAGTGTTTTTCTTCAGAATATATATATATTTCAAAAAGCAATCAATAAATGAAAAAGAAGGAAAAAAGAAATAGAAAGTACGAAAAATTGTTATTTTTTATTAAATTTGATATTTTCTTATGATTTTTTTAGAGAAAAGCATAAAAATATGTATCAAAAATTGCTTCCGAGAGTATATTGCATGTGTGGTTCATGTGTCTACATTCAATGCTATTTTTATTCTTGCAACAACTTGCAGTTAGATTCGAGTTAAACATAGTTTATTTTATGTTTATTTTATAGGCGTAAAAGGTGTTGCATGCGATGTCTGCGGTTCATTGTTCACATCCGTGGATGCCATGGAGCGACACAGGAGGACACATCCTCATCAGGGACACGATCGAAGGCACCGATGTCCCCACTGCATCTACTCCACCAACAGGTCAGATCATCTCCGCAATCACCTCACTACTCACACGGATGAGAGGAGACACGGATGTCCACACTGCCACAATACATTCACTCTAGAAGGAAGTCTCAAGGCACACCTGAGGATCCACAGTGGAGAGAGACCCTTCTCTTGTGGAGAGTGCGGAAGAGACTTCACTCAAAAAGGAGACATGGAGATACACGTGAGAAGTCACAGCGGCATCAGACCTTACCGATGTTCCACCTACGGAAGAGATTTCACCCATTCATCAGCTCTTCACAGACACATAAGAATCCACACACTGCAGAGACCCTACAAGTGCTCCACCTGCCAATACAGGGCCACAGACTCTTCCACTCTTAATAGACACGTTATTCTGAAACACACAAAACAGTTCCCCCACAAGTGTCACCTGTGTGAAAGAGGTTTTGCTCAACCGAGTGATCTTAAACGACACAAAGACCGCATGCATCCTCAATACAAGTAAATAAATAAAGAAATGCACATAATGTCAATATACTGTCATAAAGAATGAGAGATAAAATTGATCTCTACTTACAGTTTGAATAAAAATTTGTATGAAGAAAGTATAGTAGGAACATTTACAATAAACGTCTATTTTTCCTTACATTTGAAATACATTGATGACGAAAACTATTGAAGTCAGCTTAATAGAAGAGCAGTAAATTTCGAGGCGGGGACTTTATTTTCCTTTATATTATTTATTTCTCATACAAAAATAATTGTTTGGGAGTTTTTTCCCCATTCACTTTTATTATAAATCTTAGTTTTAATTTTTAAATCGATATAGTTGTACAGTCCCTGGCCAATTGATTAGACGCATTATAAGATTCTATGTAAAATCCTAATTTTCAGGTGATACTATACAGCTTTATTGTTTTTACGCTGTTGAAACCAGTTTGCACTTGTTGACGCTCGTGTTTCAATTGGTTAACATTGTAATGCAATATGTTAAAAATAAATACAAATAGGAAAATATTAAAAATCTCCTATCCCACTAAATAAGAAATCTAATCCAATAACATTTAAAACCCATTATATGTATGTTTATATATAAAAGTATTGCATATAAACTCGTGCAATATAAGTAATTATTAAAAACTACCGTGAGTATTGTAATTTGGTTCAATTATTATAATATACTAATATAATACCTGATATAATAAATATTCTATATTTATATAATATATAATCTAATTTATCCAATAGTCTAATTTACATTATTTATCGTCCAATTTTTCCTATTAATACACGAACTTAAACAAGTGCAAACCGGTTTCAGTCTCGTAAAAACAATAAATCTGTATAGTATCGCCTGATAATTAAGATTCTACATAGAATCTTATAATGCGTCTAATCATTTGGCCAGGGACTGAATGTGTAGCCGACATGGTGTTTGTATTTTCTTTTTAATAAAATCACTTATACCTCTGTCTTTTGAGACTTTGAAATAAACTCTTAGCTACAAATATGTTTAGTATTTCCTAAAGTATAAGTTTGGTTAATAGAAACGAATTTTTGTTTCAAAACATTTTACAGCAATCAACCATTTTACAGTTATACTTTAAGTAACTTCATAAGATGAAAAAGCCAATTGGCAATTTGAGACAAAAAACTTATTTAATGACATAGGTATTGCTTAATTATTTTAAGTAGTTTTTAATTTTTAGCAGAATATTTACCCTTCTAAAAGAAGATGGAAATACTAGTGCACAATAAACGTTTTCGTTATTAAAAGTTCTATTAATATTATAAAGCTTAAATTTGAAATTCACATGGGTTAAAACACTATGATTTAAAAAATGAACAGTTTTTCTTAGGTAATGTCGCACTAGTAATTGAAATAAAAATAAAATACGTTATCTTCTTTTATATCAATTGATAAGTTTTTTCTTAAATCCTTTAATTGCTTTCAGGTTAAGTTTATATGGAAGAAATAAACGTAAGCAGAATAGAAAGAAATAGTGTGTGTATCAGGGTAATGTATAAATAAATGGCAAATGGACACTGATAGCATGCAATCAATTTCATGCAAGATGTCAAATAATCACGATACGGCTTGATTTTACAGTTGCGATGAACTTACACTCACAGTTGAAGTTTAAACTAAATTTCATTTCTGCCGCAAAAACGAATTTAAAAAAATGTTGCATGATTTATTTTCCCGAAAAATATGCATATACAGCGTAAAGAATCTTTATATTAACAGTGTTATTAATTATTATTAATATTAATTATTAACATTGCTAGTTAAATCTTAAAATACAGAAAAAATGGTAATTTAAATTTAAAAAAAATTCTGTTTTCCAAATATTATCATTAAAAGTACTAATCTGTATTTCACAAGCTATATACAAATCTATATTGTTATAAAGATAATTTTTTTGCGAAGGTTTAAATGCCGCTGAAAAACACAATATTTGAAAATTTAGAACTGGTCGAAGTTTTAATGAACAACACATGAAATAATTTTTTTTCCTTCCAATTCAGCATTTTTCAAGATTTTAAGCTTTAATCAACAATCCTCTGCAATTTGAGTTTCGTTTCAAGATTCCTTTTAGTTTTAGATTCCTATAATTTAATATTCTTTGGGCATTTCGACTCATCTGTAAAACCAAAAATAATTCCATTTCAATGAAAAAATATAACAATTGTTGATTTCAATATGAGCAACATGAAAAAATTCGATTTATCAAAATCTAATAAATACTATGTTTAAAATCTGATTTCTCGAGAAACATTCAACCGATTTCTTTCAAATTTTGTATTTTGCCATTTAAAATTACATAATTTAAAATGACATTCAAATTTGTCTACTTTGCAGTTCAATTTGTTTTGACTATTATAATGTAAAATAGTAAAAAAAGTATGAATAATAATTAAACATTATTTCTTGCGTGAATTTATCATTAGATAAGTAAATTTTGTAATTGTTGGTAAAAATGCCTTGATTTACTAAATTTTTTTCAAAACATGATGCAATACGTAATAATTAGTGCTAAGGGGTTAAAATTTACAATCGTTCTCCGGACAAAACTATAGAGAGCATATTTTCTGGATTGCGACTACTCCCATATTTTGAGGATCAAGAACCCGAATAGGTCGAAAAGAAGGTATGTTATTAAGAGAAAATACATTATTGTGTCTAATTTCGTCACTTAAAATAACGTCTGCTCTAAATAATTTGCATATTTAAGGTTAAACCTTCGAATCACTAAAATTGAGTCCTAGGACGTAAAATTCCAATCTTTTGATCTAAAATTATTCACGGTGTTCACTTTTTCTCATTTTGAGTACTGAATGTTTAAAACTCCTGAGTAACTCTAAAGAAGATAATTTCAAAGAATACTCATAACTTCCGGGAAGAATTGGCACGCAACGGATATCCTTTTAAGTGTGCTATATCTGTGTATCGTTTGCTTTGCTGAATAAAGAATTACTAGGCATGTAAAACAGTTATTGTACATGTTACCTGTGCAATATAGAGTGACAGTAAGGTAAGATCCAGCATTAACAATAAGGTAATAAGAATGTACAAGATTTTCAAAAATTACCAGCCTTAATGTATTTTTCCAAATTTTCCAGAAAGTTGCACCATTGTTGTCAAAAATTAATTATAGATGATAATATAGGTATTTGAATCTGTGCTGTAACTCTTGAGGGAGGTAGTATTAAAAACATTCAAAACCAGTTAGATTGTCCAATAAAACTTTTTTTTTCGCCTTGCCCCTCTCAGCATATTATTCATTGCTAACTTTACTTAGCTTTATTCACCATACTTTTCATAAGGACGTAAAAATATTATATTTTGAGTGACTATTAAAAATCTATATCTGTATATTAAATAATTCTTTTTTATTTTTTAACTAAGTTTTTAGTTTTGAAGAATTAAATAACATAAATGCATTTAAATTTCAAAAATTACTTCCCGTTTAAAAGAACACTGCAAGAAGTTCACTGATATGAATCCTTATTACGCCGGTCATGAATATCTAAGTAAAGCGTTAAATTTTAGCATCGAAGCTCTTATGGCTTGGGTTAATTTGACAGTTAATTTAGAATGGAAGAGAGTGTGTACTATAACCGAAGACTGTGTTTAGAAATTGAAATAGTGGAAACACCTAATTAAGATGGCTGGCGAAGTTCCTTTTATGAATATTCATATACATTCTGAAAAGCTCAAATTGGCTCCAGAAAGGCTTGGAAGTGCGTTGGTAGTGCTTTTATTTTTCTTACCCGGACATTGAGCATTCTTCTTCGAATATTCCATGAATAATTTAAGTAAATTTCAGATATAAGCTATAGAATTTTTTTTTATGATTAAAATGTCGATGCTAAACTTAAATGGAGGATTAAAAAAGAATTATATTCTGATATTGAACTCCATCAAAAAATTTTTTATGTAAAAGCTATAGCAAATAATTTTTATAAATATTTATCAGTTTCGTAATATACCAAATACCAATTTTATTAATTTTTTTCTTCAAAATTTACGTAGTTTTAAATAAATGTTTAGATTAACAAGGCTATTAATATTGCCTACGATAACACTTAACTAAATCTATGCAAATTAAGTTACTTAAAATTTTATCTTTCAAATTTTATAATCATAGTATATATTTTTAGTATAAAAATTCAGTTGTTTTCGGAACTTAAAACTTAATTTTTAGCAATATTTTCATTAATATAATTACTTCGTCAAGAAATTAATCAGCTATTACCAACACCATTACTGCATTGTAATTGCATAAATATAAATTTATTTTATTGGGCATTCAACAATCATTACAAAAATACAGCTTAAATTCACTAGAATAAAAGAGACGACATATTTATAGGTAAGTTTCGTTACAAATTTTAATTACTTAAACGTCAAAATTGGCATTTTTAGTGAGTGTAGTAAACTATTTTTTTCATACAAAGTTGCATATTATGCAGAAACACGAATTATGACACGATTATTTTATTAATTAGTAATAAACGCAATCGAAAGCTTTCTTCAGTTTTGAAATGTTAACAGCATGAAACAGAATACACTTGTTATTCAAATAAATAAGTAAAACGCTCAAATTGTTGTTTAGAATTGTATTCGTAAAACATATCAGTATTTAATTATAAATATTTCATGCAATTTGGTTTTTTTATAATCTCATTAGTTAGCAGGGTATTTCAGTACTACAGCGTTAGTAATAATTTGACTAAAAATAATTCAATTGCGTTAAAAATAGGTAAAAAAAACTTCAAATGTGATGAACTATGTTTAAGCGAATTAAATCCAGAGGTGAATAAAACTGTTAATTTATGGTTCTACTCACACAACATGATTAAAAAGTATTACGAAAAGTTTAGCTTAGAGCACTAAAATTAATTTTTTAAGCAAATTAAAATGAGATAGCTATTTTGCTTTATCAGATAAAAAAAAGCAGCAAATCTTAATTTAAGCTTCACAGTAATAATCACTTATTTACAGTAATCAGCCGAGAAGTTTAAAAGAACAATAAGTACAACAAAATTTCGCCTGTGAATAGATAGAAATAAAGCAAATTTTCAATTTTATCCATGAATGAAAAAACACTAGTAAGCAATTTAAATTCTGATTCATTAAAAATTTATATTTCATTATATTTTAAAATTGCAGTTAATTGCAAAATAACTCATTTTTTTC